GACAGGAGAGTTTAGATGAGCCAAACCAAACAAACAACATGTGTCTAACTTGGATTATTAAAGTTGACTTTGAACATACTCTAACATGCTTATGTTAAGCAGATATACAGTTGACCATGCCTTTCAATCTTGGGTTAATGTTAGCATGCTTAATTTGCCAAATAACACAATGTCATTAGTTTTGGAGGTATTTTGTCATACACTAAAGCTATCCAATTGGAAATGTTGAACTGATGATGGCGTTGGAATACATGTTAAGATATTTCAGTCTGGACCAAATTGGCCAAATGACAAACCAAGATCAGACAACGCTGCAATATGTTTCCCCAAATCCCATTTTTCTGAAGCCTGTATATGAAAATACAAAAACAATTGGCGGCACTGATTCTAATGATTTGGTTCACACTTGACCAAACAATCAATGATACATTGAGTATTCATTTGTATAAACTGCATGCTTTTTAAACTACATCCCTCGTGCCTCTTGAAGCTGACGCTGCCAACACCTATTTATTCAAAATTGAAATAGTTGAAGTGATTCAGTTCTAGCAGTTTCTAACAACTGTATCAAGGTTCAATAATTCCCTTCAGCATGGATACAAATACTCATTTCAACTTCATTTGAATTCATCTCTACAGCAAATGGGTGACAAACAACACCAGCTTAATAATGATTATTAATGAGCAAAATAAATGTTCAAGGACCCGGGAGTTCAAATTAAGAGCTCGGCAGTCAAAGGATTATTAGAGCATTTGCTACCAGGGTATTCAATTAAAGGTTACCTTTCGTGGCAATGGGCAGCTCGTGTGTTTTGGTGTGTTTATTCCCTTCCCGTTTTTAATCACCGATATCATTTGAGAGAGAATTCTCCTCCAAAGTAAACAGAGCAAGAACGCACACAGCTACACACAAACACCAGAGACATTTCCTTCAGCGCTCCCTCACGGTTTAAACGCATGGGCTTGGTTTTATGTTCACTCATGTCATTTCCTTCCATGCCCTATCCACCACGGCCCGACGTTGGAAGGAATGACTTGTTGACTTTTAGCTCATAAGAATAACATACCCTACCTCATTGGATTTATATTTCAGTTTAAATTACAGAAACTGCACAGACTTTTGTCAGAATCCTAAATCCTTTGTGAGACGCTCGGTGGGCACAATTACAGTGTGACAGCAACAGTGAGAAGGTAAAAAGGCAAATAAAATAAATAAATAAATAAAAAAGTGAACATATTAAATATAGATAAAGACAAATAAATACACATCCTTGGTTAAGAGTTCATATCTGCATTTCAACAGCTAAGTGAACATAATGTATATATTATCATATCTTAGAACGGCAACCTCAATTGGAATTGTTTTAAGTCAATTAAAGACCTATCTATTTCATTTGGCTTATCATTTTTAGTAGTATCACTGTTCATGTTTTAATATTTTAATTATGTTCCTCATTTCTTATTGTCATTTTGTTGTCATAAAGCACTTTGGGCTGCGTCAAACATGAAAGGTGCTATTATTATGTCTTTATTTTTCAGTTTTTTTATTAGTGTCCATTATAGAGTTTTCAAATGTATTAATCATTCATTTAGATCTCAATTATTTACATTATTGTTTGATGCTTTATTGATATATATATATTTATTTATTTGTATTCTATTGGTATTTTATTAAAAAAAAAATTATCTTTCACTTCAAAAAGCTAAATCATTTCCTAATTTGGGATGAACAAACTTGATCTAGTCTAAAAAGTACTCATCAGTTTGACTTGGCATTTTCTGATTGTACCTTATGAGCTTCTTTGCAGTTAAGAGCATCGGCTAAACTGGAACCTGATTGTATACACACCCAACCAGCTGACCCTCCCATAATGCACAGCTTCACTAGTCTGCAGGCCAGGAATTAGACCCAGCCTGCTGCAGCATTGGGAAGTATTCAGGTCTGGCAGAACCAAAACGCTGCCATAAAACTAGCCCAACAAGATGTTTACTGGTCTTGATCTTTCTCAATGTTGTTCTTCAATGACAACAGTATGACATTTATGATTGATGTAGCTAAGCAGTGGAGAAGCTTACAGTGACATATATCTATTGCCCAAACAAACATATCTCTAAAATTCATTTTTGCTTGATTGATTTTCCAATTTGTTCCCCATGCATTTTGATATTGCCTTTAATGTTCAGTATTTCTAGATTCATGTCTTTCATGGTGGACAAGTTCATTTTGCTAATATCAGTGGAATTGCATGAATTTACAGTTTGTGTTCAAAATGGATAAGTAACCGTTCATTTTCACATACAGATTTCGATTTCTTTCCTCTTAAGGTCCAATTGATGTCAGTAAAACCTGGATTTGTAAGGTCATTTTGTTATTCCTATTGTATTTGTGCAAATAACCTGAGAATATTGACAACAATGGGAATCCAACAAGACTGCAACATCAGACTGATCAACCTAATATCCTTTTTCCTATTCAAAAGACGTTAGATAAACAAACAAAAACAATCTGTACAATATCAAATGTACCGGAATGAGTTATTTACCTTGTTATGTTTTCATACTGTTCCAGGACAGACATCAACACGGCAGATCATGGACAGAAAGGTCCAGGCACTGTGCTTAATTCAGCGTACACTGGGATATCGGAAACCAGGTACAGTGGATGTTAAAATAAATATCAAGAATAGCACAAATGACAATGTATCAAAATAAATGGTGGCATTTTGTGTCATTTAACTGGCAACATTTGGGTTAATGCGAAACTTGTTTTATTACTAGATAACAACCTGTCCTTCACTGCAAACATCGCTGCTACAACCCGCTGCTGCAGATACACGCTTTACAACATCAGGAAGATACGTCCCCAGCTGACACAGAAAGCGACTCAGGTTCTGATCCAGGCTCTCGTCATCTCACGCCTAGACTACTGCAACTCCCTCCTGGCTGGTCTACCTGCATGTGCCATCCGACCTCTGCAGCTCATCCAGAATGCAGCTGCTCGTCTGGTCTTCAACCTTCCTAAATTCTCCCACACCACTCCGCTCCTCCGCTCCCTTCACTGGCTTCCGGTAACTGCTAGAATCCACTTCAAGACACTGGTACTTGCATACCATGCTGCGAATGGATCTGGCCCTTCCTACATCCAGGACATGGTTAAACCGTACACCCCAGCGCGTGCACTACGCTCTGCATCAGCCAAACGACTCGCTGCACCCTCGCTGCGAGGGGGACCCAAGTTCCCATCAGCAAAAACACGTGGGTTTGCTATCCTGGCTCCTAAATGGTGGAATGAGCTCCCCATTGACATCAGGACGGCAGATAGCTTACACACCTTCTGGCGCAAACTGAAAACTCATCTCTTTCGACTCCACTTCGAGCGTTAGAATTATTAACAAAGCACTTATATACTAATAAAGGGCTGGCTTACCTAAAGCCAGTTGAGTAGCACTTGAGATGTTTTTTCTCTATGAAGCCTGATGTACTTATATGATTCTGTTTTCTTCAAGTTGTATTTTGTTGGTCGAACGCACTTATTGTAAGTCGCTTTGGATAAAAGCGTCAGCTAAATGTAATGTAATTACTATAATGATAAAAACCTGTGCTAATATGCAATATACACTTTTGTTAGCATTACCGGCTCCTTCAATACTTTTATTTCTTCACTTAATAACAGGCACATTTCTATTACCATGCTGTACTTATTAATTGTACTTATTTGTAAGTTTACTCTTTTTCCTTTTATCCGTACCCTGCTGCTATGACACCGTACATTTCTCCGTTGTGGGACGATTAAGGGTTTTCTGATATTCGGATTCTGATATTTTTAAGATGCCATAATGATTGTGTATTGTCCCATATTACCAATGACAATACATTATTATTAATTTGAGTGCTGAGTAATGCTACAGGAACAGTGATGATACAATGATGTATGGACGGCAGCAATGGACACTTTCCCCCCGTTCATTTGCACTGCGCTTCTGACGTCAATTAAGGTAAACTGGTTCAATTTAGACAATTCAAAAGTGTTCCATAACTAAATACAAACAGTGTTTGTCAATTTAGATATACACAGAAAAATAACTCAAGGCTACTTCAAACTGTGTGGAGCTTTTCAGAATTGCGTCTTACTGGAGCCATTGGGTTCATATCCTCATAAAGAGGCCTCAACACAGGCAGCAGGAGAAACACAAAGGTTGAAATAATAATCTCAAACTGTGTCCCGCAAAGCCAGCCAAAAACAGAGAACAAACAAGGAGAGAAACTAAGGGAGGACAGAGAAATATCTTCCATCAACTAAATAATAAAACTCTCCTTTTAAATGAGTTCCTTACATGGCTTCAACAACACACATGAAGCCATTCTAGTGTAGAATCATGTCCAAGATGACCCTCTGCTTTCTGTGTGAATTCCCATCTCACCAAAGCTCAATCTGCTGACCTCCTTTACCTCAATCATATAGAAGTAAAAGCTAAAACCCTTTAATTGACTCTTTAGGAAACAAATAATCATATAAGAAACGATTTTATTTCTGTAAAATATTGATAAAGTCGAGGTTGGACTTACAAATAAACTCTAAGGTGTGTTTCTGTACACATATTCAAGTTGGAACGGAACTCAATTTCGAGTAAAAATCTACCCACAGCGATACCATCACATTGACATGTAAACAGTTTCATAATATTGCATAATTTAATTCATTTATTCACTTTATAGCACATTCTGCTTTAGTGATATTGAAGCTTCCGTGAATGACTTGTGAGATTAAACAGCATTGATGCCTTGGGTTATTTTCTTTTTCTGCAGTGATAAAGCGAAAGGAGGATTATAAATAAACCAAACTGATTTGATCTGTGCTACTTCCTAAAAGGCTCTGCTTCCTCCGGGCTTGCAGGTGTGTACAGTTTGTAATTGGTTACTATCATAATGTCATGTATTGCATTTATAACAAATAAATGCGACTAAGCTCTGCCTCTCGGGCTGAGTTGAATTCAACTCACCTGTAGCCATGCTGGGTGTCCACACACACCCCGCCGTTGAAGCAGGGGTTTCTGGGATACGTGTTGCAGGGCTGATGGGACTGCTCTCTCCCTGAGCAGGAGCACACAGCCGTAGATTCCACCGTCACAGATACAAGACTCATGGTCCCGCAATCCACCACTGTGGGCGTGTCCTGCACGTTCAGGACGTTGCTGCAGCCGCCGGCCCCCCCACACTCCGAGCCCGGACACTCATCCACGCGGATCTGGAACACGTTGACCTGCAGGAACGACTGGAGCTGGATGGAGAAAGGAAGAGGAGCATTGGCTAGAGCTCTCTATGTCAACGTTCTAAATGTATCACATTGCCAAGGGAAAATGACCAATGTCCTCCCTACGTCCAGTGTGGATTTTTGCCATGCAAAGAAGTGAAATGGCAAAGAAAGTGGAGTAACTGCCACAAGCTACATGTGTGGCATTGACAGAGGTGGGAAGTAGTGGAGTACAAATACTTCGTTACTGCACTTAAGTAAATGTTTCTGGAATCAGTACTTTACTCCACTACTTATTTTTCTGATGACTTTTTACTTCTCACATTTTTAACACAAATACCTGTACTTTCTACTTCTCACATTTTCAAAACAGGCTGGTTACTTTAGTTTAAATCTGTGTTTGGTGGCGTGATCATTATTATTTAGAGTCATTGTTTCAGTGGTATTCTTTAAATATTCGCCCCTGTGTGTCTCCTGCGTTTATGATTGTCTACCCCGCCCTGACTGCTTCCACCTGTGCCCCTTACCTTGTGTGTATATATTGTCTTAGTCTCCCCCTGTCCTGTGCCAGTTCGTCTTCTCTCATGACTTGACATACCAGCGTACCTTCAAGCCTGATCCACGTCCGTTGTTTTGTTTCAAGCTCCTTATCGTAGTTATTTAGTTTTCCTCGAAAGAGTGATTTTGTGTTTTTCCATAGTTTAGTTTAGTTTCCCTCTTTAGAGTGTTTTTTTGTTCTCCATCTTCTTACTGTGATATATCCACTAAAATACTTTATTTTGAAACTGTCTGAATCTGAGTTGTGCATTTGGGTTCATGCCTCTGAGTTCACCCCTTGACACCTATTGATTTGAACACGATCCGTGTATCCATCATTTCCTGGTCTTCTCTAAAGAAGAGGGACCAATGGAAACGTTGTCATGTTGCCGTTGTTCAGCATGGAAACATTCATTAGCTAACAATGACATTATTGTTCTATTCATATAAAGGGAGGTCAGGTACTCTTTAAAACAGCTGCTAGTTATGGGTACTTTTTACTGAAGTACATTTCAAAGCCCATACTTCTTTACTTGAGTAAAGGATGTGTGTACTTTTGCCATCTCTAGTAAGGACCATCACTATCGTGCTATAACTGCACAACTGATCCATGACAAAGGTTCAGCACTCGTTGCTTTAGGTACGGTGAAACGGAGAAAATACATTTGTCTGAAGCATGCACCAGTTTATTGAAGTTGCACAGGAGTGGGAGACGAGGTAATCTCTGTGGGAACAGACAGAACTCTCTGTGAAACCAGCTTTGTCGATGCTTTAGCTACAGTAAGTGGCGGAAAATGTTCAACTTCATGCCAATAATTCAGAAATCATCATATAATAAGGTAGAAATCCCTCTGATTGCTCTAACCAGTCTTTCATGCATTTCTTTACTACAACCCCACACATGTTTTGGTTTTCTCCCCCCCGAAAACAACACTATTTTAAACTAGTGATTAATCATGATCACAAAAGTAATGATCCTGATTCAGTTGGACTATACTGTTGAGGTCAATTAAGGGAACCTGGTTGAACTAAGGCATTTGAAAATGTCTTCCGAAACAGACAATCACAGTGTTTGGAGGTTTATCGATGAGAACTGGAAAAAACGTGTTTGGAACACATTGACCTGCAGGATTGAGTTGCGCAGAATGGAGAAAAAGAAAGAAGGGCTGTCTATGTGAATGTAGCTCGCAATTCATCTGAAAACCATATGCCATTACAAGCTAAAGAACATGACCCAAATACCTTAAAAACTAAACTAATCAAGCGCCAACTGCTAAATGGTCCGAAGAAACCTTTATTCCATTAGTTTAAAATAGGTAAGGGATTATAAACACATATGTGACAAAGAGAAAATGAGGGCATTAATTAAATGCATTTCAGACGAAAGTAACTTGTTTACACATAAACAAGTAAATTGACAGTCTGTATTGCCTGTTTGATGTTGGACATAATAAAGCCCACCTACATCTCAATACATTATTCAGTTACAATATAGTGTTATGATGATACATTTGAGATTGTGTTGGGTAAAAGTGATTTTAAAACCTGCATCTCTGGGAAGTGGAGTTGCGATAGTAACCATAGGAGCAACATCTTTTGTTTTTTTTTGCATCTTTGTAAATCAAAGATAAAAAAAATAAAAACATCTCTGTTTTAAATAACAGAGGAGTGAGGTCTTGTGTATGGGATCAAGAAAATATTGAGTAATAATCTATTTTGTATAATATGCTTGTGCCATCGTATCCAAAAAGCACTGTTTTGGGGGTCCCACTAGTGAAACACCAGGTGACATGTTATGAAGCTTTATAGTTCTAACTAATGCAGACATATAATTGTACATGTTATATGTGAGCTGTACATCTGAGACCATGGGTAGTGTGTACCTCTCTTTGCACAGGCTATCAAACCTCTCTGTCAAAAGTATTGACAACTAATTACCCCCGGCAGGGTAATTCACTGACTCTAATCCATCTTTAACATGAAAGCAATGTTCATGCGTACACCGCTGCACCTTTTGAGGTATGCTGCAGTCTCCTGTACTTATATGAGTCTTTACATTTGAAAGGTCTTCATCTGTAGCCTACTTAGTTATTCAAACATGGTGACTAACCCTGTCCCATTACAACACATCAAGTAGGTTCTTAGCTAAATACATGACAGTGATTATGGTGAACCAAAACATATGAATAGTTAATCCATTGCTGTTATATATTTTTCATATATATTTGTGTATTTGTAAATCTAATTTCAGTTGTTCCTTTTGGTATGTCATTTTTCCAACACTTTTTTTTATGGTATATCCAATTAGATCTGTTGTTCGCCATAACCAACCACAACATCTAGCAACAGAGATGATCAAATTGAGGTATCAGCTACCAACATTTTACAATAAGTGGCATCAGACAATGCAGACTCCCAATGCTAAACCTAACTAATGAGAGTGAGTAACTATCGAAACAACTTTCCTGGTTATTGTGCAGATACTTATGTAAGGTACTTGTTCAATAAAACGCAGTGGTACTGGAGAGGAATTGTTTGCACAGTGACCCCACAAAAGACACTAGGCACTAGTCTACCGTATTTTTGACTTGATACCGAGACAATTAGCTCTAGCCACTTTCTCCGTCACTCTAACCCTAACCACACACCCTGCAACAGACTTTAGTAGAACCTGATGCTCTGCTTCACAAAGGAGAACCCCAGTTAGACGCCACACCAAACATGCTAGCACTACCTATTTGTCACCCACCCCCCCGCAAAAAAATAGCCCACATTTAAAATGTAATTTTATTTTCTCCAGCAAAAATACTTTAAATACACTTTCTATTTCAAAACATAGCCCATTAGTTTAAAGCACTCACAAAAACAACTATGTGTCAAACTCCAAAAGTAGCAACGAAAACTCTTACTACCAAAACTTGACTTGGACGAGCCACCATTTTTTCACGTTTTATTTAGCTAATTGACCAATAAGATATTAATATATACTTACATTAATACAATCAAGCAGTACACTTTATCCATGTTTTAATATAGGAATGTCTATTTGATATTAGGAATCATTTAAGAATGTCACTGCGAGGTTACACCAGGCAGATATGTTTTTGACCAGTTTAATTGAAAAATACTCAGCCCAGAGAAGAGTTTGGGAGAACAGAAATTGGCATAGAGCCAGAACACTTAATGTGCATAGTAGTTTGTGTAGTGTATGAGTGTGTGGATCTCAGTATGAATAAAAAGACAAACAAACCAATTAATAGATAGAGAGACTGACAGCTCAGGCACCCACACATATCAGTAAGCAGTCAACCCAAACCAGGTGTCAGCCATCTTTCCGGATTTGGGGGGAGGAGCTCATCAGGAAACTGATGCTGAGGCCGTCACAGAAACTGTCCCAACATGTACATTTAACACCATCGCTCAATGATCCATAACATCAGCTGTAATAATGTCTAGCTAATCTAGTTTACACAGGCCAATAAACACATGGGCGTACGCACCAACAAACAACAGAATGCTGAGGTGCGAAGTGCAGATTCAACGGGAGGATGTGTTACACTACAGTAGGCAGCTTAAGTCTAACAACTGGAGCTATTTTCTGCACCACTTCCTGATACAAGTGGGCTAAATGGTGATGAGGCAGAAAGTAAACTATAACTCTCGAGGTTGAGCAATTTGATAAAGCACTGGAACGGTAAATGTAAATTAAATATGCACTAGTCTACCGTATTTTTGTTTTTCCTTATGTGCCGTCGTCCTTGGCTTGTTAGAGTGACACAGATCAAGGAGATTTCATACATGTACTCATGTAGAGTAGGCATGCACACGGGCATGGACAAATATGAGAGGCCGTCTAGCTCACAACTCATACTTGGTCTTACAAACAATATCAGAATCTCACACATACACCATTAAACTATTGTATACATATAGCTAAATAGAGCTATAAAGGAATGGAACTCATTGCCAAACTACCTTGCTGAAGAAGAGATTGAAGGGCCATCTACTAATGACCATGTACCCTTGTGAGCTGTGAACCCTAATTTAATTTGATCCCATGCTTTGTACTGGTGGGTGTCTTGTGCACTCATCCTTGGCAGAGATTGATATTGAACGTGGATGAGATTGTTGATGATGTTAGAAATTGTTGATGATATTGGTGATGTTGTTAATGATGTCAGGAATTATGTCTTGAATGTTGTTGTATTATTGTTGTATTGTTTTAAGTGTCGGACTCCGGGAAGAGTAGCTTTTGTCAAGAGCAAAAGCTAATGGGGATCCTTAATAAACATAAACACTTTAACAGGCACAATCATACTCTCTTTCACACTCTTTGTCCGGGCCATACATCAAACTTACTTACATACCAAACTATACTTTTTAGAAACACTATTATTCCCACTTACATACAACATCATACTACAATATAATACTCTAGTAGTGTATGCAAGATGGACAACTTTGTGTGTGAGAGAATGATAGTGTGTGTG